GGTGATCTCCGAACCAATCCTGTCCCCTCCACATGTGGAGGGAAAAGGGAGGCTTAGGAGATCCCTACGCTTCTCCCTCAGCCACTAATTTCATATTTAAGGTTTGTATATACCTTGGATGTTACAGCAACTTTTTCGTCAAAATCGACTTTTTGGAAGTGGTATTTTATATAATCGATTTAACATATTTTTACGATTTTCTCAAAAACGGCTCAAACGGTTTTAATTTAACTCAGTATATCAGTGTATTATTAAGCATTTTTTAAAATAATGTAGGTTTTATTTCCACTGACGTTCTCTAACAGGACTTAAATGATTAATTTTCAATATTAGCTTCCTCAAAAGTACCTTTACTTTTTTTTTAAATTTGAAATAATAAAATATTTCACATTAATCTTTAATATATATTAAAAAAAACAAGATTAATTATTGAAATACTAGGCAGAGTACAGACTATACGATTGCTAATTATTAACTATTATAAGCTTTTATAGAAAAATGATTCCGCAACCGTAAATCAATTTTCTTCAAAGTTTGAATAAAATACATATATTAATAATTTATTGATATAAAACTGACATGGTACGAGATAAACAGTTATGGCTTATTTCGAGTTTTAACTGTTATACTATTTTTTCATATACTTCTGCATGTTCGAACTTATTTTATGGAAAATAAGTTTAAAAAATCTGACGACTTAAACTCAAAGTAAAAATGAGAATTATTTACTGTTTGATTATTTAATATCATCCGAATCAATGAACAAGGTAAGATAAACTGAGCACAAAAAAAAAATAATCGGAAAAAAAAAATCAACCAAAAAAGTATACACTAATAACCAAAATTAAAACTACACATAATAGAAATACAGAAAGTATTTACATACCCAACACGAATAACTGCATACCTAGAAAATTGTTCACGTTTGATAGGTATAAGTCGACAAACTTTGCATATTATCAACACCAGACAATTAAGTACTGTTCATTTCAGCATTTATAGAGTGAATGTGGTCTTACCTCACACCTATTATCCAATAGACAGAATGGATCCGTTTATAACCTTCAATATATTTACTATAGTTTAATAACTCTAGATATGATATATTTAAATAATTAGGTATCTATTGGCCGTTTATTCCAAAACATCATCAAGTAACCTTTTAGAAAATTAAATTAGAGAATAATTTGATGAATTTTCCCTTTGTGAAATCTCAACAGTATCCACTTACAATTAGTGTGACAACTTTTGACCTATCCATAGCAGGCAATGAAAATCTCGTAATTTCATTTTAGTTTCAAACTTTACAATGGAAAATAACAGTTTAATAACTAATAGTCCTACAATCCATAATCATTTATAGATTAAATATTCAGATATACTTTTAAATCTCTCTAGGCATATATGAGCCTTCGGTTGACAGAATGACTCAACTCCAATTTCAGCATTCTTTATTATTAATTTTAGTGATGTTTCTAGTCACAAAATGTATACCTTCATATTTCACACTTCTATATTTCAACACTGCAATCACCTACTCTAGATTTAACCTATTCACTGTCTGTATTGATATAACTTTTCCAACTAGAAATATCACTAAAATGACATTAATCAAATATGTTAAAATTGGAGTTAGTCAGTCTGTCAACTGAAAGGCTCAGGGACTGAAGTTATGTGGTTTATAAAACTAGATTTTTACTGCCCACCGTAGATACAATTTATAGACTTTTTGTAATTTTAATAGTCTTAATTATTTGTTATCTGTAAGCTTTAAGGTATAGCTCAGTTTAAAATTAACTTCAAGAATTTTACAATAGCCCAAGATTGCCAGAAAATAATTTCTATTATAAGTAGAGGGGTAGGTAAGTGAAAGTTGTGTGTTACACGCACCAGATTTTTTAATTTAATAAGCCATTCTCATTTAAATTTAACGAAAATGTGTTATTTTCGGTTGTAATTTCTTTATATATATTAAATAAATTTTATTTTATTATTAGTTTAAAATTAGTCCATTAATTTTAAGGCTAGGTTTTTTTTTTCCCAGAGAAAGCTTTGTGTCATTTTAAATGATAGCAGAAAAGTAGCAGACTCTATATTTAGAACGGCTATGTCTTAACGATAATAACATTGAAGTAACGAATAATATAGTCACGTTAGCTTTTAATTATATAAAAAATAAACAGTTGTTTCATAAAGCAATAAAATAATTTTGTTGCTGTTTTCAAAAACATTGACAACAAAGCTAATTTAATTTTTCTTATAAATCACTAATCCTCCGGTGTTAAAAATGTTCATAGACCAGAGATTCCATCAAAAATGTGTTTTGGTTATCTTGTGGGGAAGAGACGGTTTGGCCATTTAACAGACCCATTATAAGGTTTTTTTTTTGTAATCACTAGACTTTTGTTGATGATTAGGTAAAGTAAATGAACCAGTAATAAGACAGTTTTCAACTCATTAACATATAATAAGCTGTGTACGCCCAAATGAGAGAGCAAATACGAGTAGAGTAATAAAGCCAATTGGTAGTTAATTTTAGTCAAAAATGGTACTTTTTATTTTTGTCGAACTATCAAACGACCGTGAAAGCAACATATTAAACATATTTTAAAAGAATCACATTTTAATAAATCCAAATGTTTCAAAGTTTGATCCTCCATCTATATATACATACATATCTTACAATTACAAGATAATTTATTAATTGGTGTGAAAGAACTTGCTACTGCTTATCTTCCAACAGATTTTAAAGTCATTAAATTAATAAAAAGAATTTTTCTGAGTTTAGATATAAGTTTGTGCTATTAACGTTTTAGTCTCGTTTCTTGTCATAGTTTCATATTGTTCGGATCATAGGGATTTTAGATAATGGTTTTTCGCTAATTACAACTACGTGGTATAAAATATTAAAGGAAATAGATAAACCTATAAAAATTGACGATCAAAATAAGGATAGTCCACTCTTTCCTGGATATAAATCTTTAACAAATATAAAACACCTTTCAGAATCCCTCACGAAAACATTTTTGGAATACAATATTGATGAAATCAAAATAGCATACCGAATCTCAGATAAACTTCACAAAGATTTGACATGTCTTTATGATAAAATAATTAATTACTAACCAAAATTATAATTTAATCTATGAAATAAAATGTCCACATTGTCCGAATTCTTATATATGCACAACTCAAAACCTCAACAATAGACTTTACCAAAATAAAAATTCATGTATTGATTATATAGACAAAAATTGAGGTAAAAAAGAGCCTAAAACAGCTTTAGCCAAACATGCATCTGACTTAAACCATAAATTTGACTTTGAGAAACCGATGATCCTCCATAGAGATAGTTCTGAACAAAAATTAAAATACTTGGAGGCACTTTATATATGAGAGAGCCTTGATAGGGTGGTAAATTTTAATACTGATTCAAAGAATTTAAATAATTTTTCCTGAAACTATAAATATCGTGAAAAAACAATAATATTAACAGACCTCTGATTAGGGTATTTCTTAATATATCAGCTGACAAAACAAAAATAAAAATTTTATTGTTACAGAATTTAAAAAAATAATGTATTTTTGAAAAATGTTTATCATGAAATAGATATAGGCATGTGCGTGTGTGTGTGTGTGTATATATATATATATATATATATATATATATATATATATATATATATATATATATATATATATATATATATATACTTTAATTGTAAATAAAATAATTGATAGATTTAAATAATTTATATTAAAATAATAATATATTCTGGTTTCAATTTTAGTCAAGTAATATTTAAATATTTTAATGTTGGCAACGCCTCCCCTCCTTCAAGGATTGGTCTCATTCGGTATATATATTGTTATATTATATATATCTCATATATATATTGTTGACTGGTGAATAATGTTTTTAAGGTTAATATGGTTTTAAAAATGGGCTAATATCTAATAGCGAATCCTCTAAAAGACTTTTGTATATCTTTTTTTCAGATTTAATTTAAATTTAAATTACATGTAAAATCAGATTATCCCTGAAGAGGCGAAAATTCGGATAAATTTGAAATAAAGTAATTATTTATCGAGACTGATAAATTTTTTTAATCATGACTTGATGAATTTTTCTAGTCATTTTTCTAATAATGACAATGGTTTTGAAATCTTTTTGAAGGCTCAAAAATTCTTTGTTTTAAAATAAATGTACAGTTTTATCTTTAGAAGCTACAGTTTCGATCAAATGATTTTATAGGATATTTTAGTGTGGTTAATAGTTTAGGGTTCTCATGTATATGTTTTAAATTACTTTTCTATTATATATATAATCAGCTTATATATTTTTAAGTCAATTGGGAATATGTAGTGAAATATGTGGACATTTTGGTAATCATTAATAGCACTTGCTGTTAATACCAAATTTAAGGACTTATCAAGTTCTAGGCCTAAATACTTCATTGAGTTGGTCCAAGTTCGTCTTATAAAGAGTTTGAAATTGATAATTAAAAAAATAAAATCTGATCAAAATTTTTATCTGAAATTATTTTTAAATCATTTGATAATTTTTATTTTTGATCATAAGCGATAAAAATCATATCCTGGTGATTATTTTTGAAAAAAAAAATACAATCAACAATAATAATAATAATTCTTGAGTATTTTTTAAAAATCAGAAATATAATTTTTTTATGATATATTTTGAAACTGGAGTAGTAGATGGAGAATAGTTTATTCGACGTTTCGATCCCGGTTTTTTATAAGTTAACAATGGGATCCTCTTCAAAGTTTAAAATAGAGCCCGGATACCTCTGGCCAGGGACACACTGACAGCACTGTCCACCAGCACATATATTAAGCTACAGTCCAATTTTTTTTTAATAAAAAAATTGTTACAGTTTGAGTTCTTAGAATGATTTACAAGTTTAATCTGACGAATTCGAAATAATAGTAATGTACTTGGAATCTATAGCATTTAAGTCGTACTCATCATATGAACTTACTTGATTCCTTGTCATGTCGACAAGAGCATATCCCAGAAGGACTATATCCGTCTCGTCTGAGCCTAGGCCGGCGTTCTGGAGGCCGGAGGTAGCGACGAGGAAGCCGCAGGCAGTCATCCTCTGTCATATCTGAAAAAATCAATTTATATTTATCATTTATTACAATAATAATAAAAATAATTTTTATAAATAATAACATTCTCACTAAATCTGCATAAACAAATACTGCTTAAACCAATATATGAGGATTTCAATACATAAAGCGAACGTTATCAGTAGTCATGAACCGCCAACAGATGATATTCAGGAAGGGGTACCCAGGAGGGAGTTGCATGGCGCAAGCTGCCAATCAATTTTTTTGAGGGGGAAGGGGGCTGCATTTTTACGGAGTTATGAATTCTTGGAGGTAACCACATTGGAGACATTTCCAAACCAGTTAACAAGACCGAAAACATGGAACAAAAAAATTTGTTTTGTCATTGTTTACCACCGCTATATTTTCATAGAATTCCAACAAACCTGGTAGGAATGTTGAAAAATATAGATATATCAAAATATTAAAAAAATGATGTTAAAGTTTGACTATCGAACACCATTGTTTAAATTAAAAAGGCTGCAAGGAAGTCGCCACAGGTGAGCACATAGAAATGAAGTACTTTTTTAATAATAAACCTTTCCGAACGGTTTATAACTATAGAAAAGTAACATACAAAGTTTATAACATTACAAAAACAGCATAACAACAAAAAAAAAGGTTAATTGTACAAATTACCCAGGTGGGATAAAATGTATCAATAATTGTTTCTTGAATTGTAGAGACGGACATAGCAACAGTCAATAATATGTATCTGATGATGGAAACCACATTTGCTAAAATGTCTAACAAATAGTAAACAAATAAAAACACATACCGATCATAAGGAAGTTATAATTGCCAGCCTTACCATTCTTTTTTTTTTCGTTCCCATTGAATTTATTTTTTTTGTTTTATTAATTGAATATTAATACATTCTGCCACATTGAAGGGCATTACTATTAGGGCTACATTAATCATTCACACAATATGTACATACAAATAATGACAAAAATAAAGATAATAATGGAAAAAATATATAGAAAATAAAATAAGAAAATTAATATACACATATACAAAAAATGAAATAATAGATAGAAGCTAAATGAAATTAAAAATAAATAAAACACAGTCACACCTATATACAGTATTTACATTCGCTTAGGGAACTCATGCTTTGTCCCCTAATGTGAAAGCCAAAGCAGGACTCCATGAGATCCCAGTGCTTCTCTCCCAGTCGCGTCACTAGTTTTAAAAGCTAGTAGAGACTGATGGAGGGCACTACAGTAATGAAAATGTAAATTATTTTTACAGTTTCAAATGATCATCAATTAAATTTCGATTTTATTCTTTTTTTTTTATGTTGAGCAATTGAATTGATTTTTCTTTATTTTTTTGTCAATTTTAATACTTTTTTAGGTTTGTAGTGATTTATTTAATAGTTTCTTCCTTCATTTCTAATTTAACAATATTTTAGCAATTTAACTGATTTTTTTGTTCCAAATAATTTTTTTTTTAATTTGTTTAAAAAGTATCAATTTATTAATGTTAATAAATTATTTATTTTTTTGTGAAAAGCAACATGTTTATCTATTGCTTTTAAATCTGTTATAAAACTAATGCTTCAATATAATATTAACCTCCCCTCCCTTAATTGGTTTTTTATTTTTACATCCCTAAAACCAAAAGTTTTCCAATTTTTCAAGAACAATGCATGGCAGAACGTCTGCTATTTTTCTACATCACATATTCCTAAATCTGTAGAATTTATAATATGTAAATCTTATATATTTTATATATTACTTGAAAAATATAACAGAATTAATTTTATAGTTAAGTACAAACTAAGAAGCTACAATTTTAAATATTTGGAATATCATCCATAAAAAAAAAAAAAAAGAGTTCTGGCACCAATTTAAAGCTATTACGTCCCAAATACATAATATAGCGAAAACGGGACAGATGAGGCTAAAACATATTCCCTCTATTGTAATACCTAATTAAAACAACGTAGTGAAGATATTTATCATACCATAGTGCATGTATAGATACATATATAAATAAATAAATATATATGTGCGCGCGTACACACAGGCACATATAAATAGATAGATGTCCTCGTAGAAGATTATTATTAGAACTCATAAAAATTGACCTTGTTTCTACAAATCTATGTCTAATGAACGGGAACTTGAGTAATGGGAGTGAGAAAGAATACTTCTTACGATCAAAGAATGTAATAATCCACAACTGAAAACAGAAATACAAAAAAGATGACAAATCAAGCAACAAACTATAATTTAAAATATGGGAAGAAAAAAAAATGCCTAAAACGATCGTTTGGAAATTAAAAAAGAATAATATGAGATTGAAATAAAAATTATTAATTCTATATTAATACCTGATTAAATTAATGTAATAAAGATTTAATATAACTTAAACATAAATAAAAGACAAAACATAATGGATCGAACAAATAGAATAGCCGAATAACAAAGTTTTTATTATGGCTATTGCGAAACCTTGACTTCCATAAGCCCCTTTAAAAAAATCAAAACAAAACCCCTCTCCCACCCAATTTTATAAAATGAATTAAATAACCCCCCCCCCCATAATACAAAATCCATCTCAAAAAATGATTCTCAAATTTTAACTCTACACCCGTCAAAGATGTGATGATATTCCCGACTTTCACAAAACTTAAAGCGATTCCCAACTTTCTTTTTTCGAAACGAAAAAAAAATCCCTGATATATTTCCTGAACAACATCAATACAATATTTCCAATTAAATAGTACAGCAAATAGCTGATTTGTGATATTCAGTTAAATTATGCAAACGCGAATGGGGCTATTAGAAGGATTGTTATTATCACTAATAGTCACAAATCTAGTTTGGAAATTAGCTATTTTGCCAATATCTCTTCTGAGATGGATTGTGAGAATTGGATAGACTAATTTATAAGTATTTATCTCGCTGAAGATTTTCAAAGGGCTAAAGAAAAGTATTTTTAATTATTGGATGGGACAATAAGTAATGTACGTTCTATGGAAACATATATAAACAATAGTATATAATAAAGCCTCAATGAGAGGGCTGAGATCAAGTGAGCAGGGTGAGAACGTAGAACTTGAATTGTAGATTCTAGATATAAGAATGATGTTAATTATATGGTTAAGGAATGTGGCTGGGAAATATTCTCGTGGTGGAACATAATAGAAGATACACAGAGTCAGCGAATGTGATTATGATGGCGTAGAGATGAAATAGTTTAAGGGTAAAAATTAAGATAATGGCAAGTAACAAATCAACATAAAGTGATAGGATAATAATTACGGTATTGGGTAGGGAAATCGTCAACGTTTTCCCAGAAATTTAACTAAGTCTACCTCAACATTGGCTAAACTCAATTAATAACCCATAGGTTCCTATTTAACAACCGATAAATAGATTTATGAGTAATCAGTTTAGTGCTGATGGGAACAGCGACGAATAGATTTAGAAAACTGTAAATATAGGAACTGAAAAGAAGTGGGAATATGCTTGAACCCTTGTACCACACCTGAGGACACAGGCGAATCTATGGAGGGGTAAAATATAACCACGTTTTATAAAAAAAAATATTAAAAACTATCTCGAAGTATTATTGTTCCTATAATTACATTTAATAGAACTTCAAGAATCACTTAAGACACAATTTCATATAGGTAGTTAATTTCTTTCTTTTTTTTTCAAATTAATTATCGTCATATATATGAACAAAAATTCTTCCGGGCTGAAAAATTAAGATTCTTCCGGTCCCCTCTCAAAATTAAATCCTGGATTCGCCAGATAAAGATTGAAAAAAGAGAAAGAAAGGCAGATAAAGATTGATTAGCTATAGCAACAGAGATATTAAAACCAACGGATAAAACTATAAGAAAATATTATGAGTTTAACTTAAATATAAATATAAATATATAAATATATATATATATATATATATATATATATATATATATATATATATATATATATATATATATATATATATTTATATATATATATACACATATTAATACAAATAGTTTTTAATAACATTAAGAGTATAAGTGTAGATAATTGCTTATATTCTTTGAAGGCCTGAATATCACTGTTATTTTTCATTGAGGCGGATTACGTGGAGTAGCCGGGTCGAAAACCGGATTGGGGAGGACCAAATAGTTTGGGCTCATGAACCTTGATTGAGCTAAGGATATCTCTTCAGAACCTTTTTTAGATTGAACTAACAACATTTGTTGTGAAAGGATACTTCACAAACACTGATATAATATAAAGTAAGCAAACTTATTTATTTTTTATTTTTTTATTTATCCCATAGATTATTATTTTTTACAAATTAACACTAATACCCTTTAAAGAAACTAACGTTTTTCACTTAACAACGATGAATGGTCGCCATGACAACCAACCTCGTGGTAGCGACTTTTATAACCAGTCGATTAATAATTCATGTTTTCATTGTTATGCCGTCATAATTTTCTCTCTTTTATTAGGATTTTACACCTTATAGTGCTAAAATACATAAACATTTCGAAAGCTATATAGAATAAAAGACATGATCCAAAACTAACCAATATACAATTAAATATATATCAATAGTTTCTATAATAAAAATGATTTTAAAATTACGTTTGAAGAATAAACTTTTAAACATAAAAATAAAGAAACGCCTGTACTATTACAACCTATTGAGGAGCTGAGTGCGTCGTAAGTAAATAGTGTGCCAAGGTCGGCGGCTGTGCAAGGAGGCGATTTGACCAGGATTATGCTCAACCGCCAGGTTTTCTCCCGATTAAGGGGAATTCATAGAAGCTGGATGTACCACAGGAGGGTAGCCAAATACAAGGCAGATCCTCTGTTGACTTACCAGAATATATAATTTAAATAGAATAACTGATCTAAATTATTGTGTTGAGAATTCATATAGGTTAAGTTAGATCCAGAATTTGGATCTGTAATGGTTATGCCATTTTTCTGTTTCTGTTAAGATGGGGTTTGATTAGCTCCCTCTGATA